CCTTTTGAAGAGTTTACTCCCCTCGTGGGTGTAGGTTCCCTTCAGGTATTGATAGGCTGCAATGAGGTCACCCCGCAGCCTTCTCTTCTCCAGGCTGAACAAGCCCAACTCCCTCAGCCTGTCTTCATAGAGGAGGTGCTCCAGCCCCCTGGAGCCATGAGTGGTTTCTACCCATTTCCAAGCTTACCTTCCCTTTTGTGGCAGGACCACATCAGTGGATGCAGGCGGATGGAAGGTCAGGACAGGCAGAAGCACTTGTGGCCATGAGATCATGTAGGGCATCACTCACTAAGAAACTCAACCCCAGCAGAGCAGACATAACATTCCCACCCACCTAGGAAAATCTGGTACAAGGCAAGGGAACAGCCATGGGGGCCTGCCACTCACTGGAGGACACCGGGCCACACCGATGGGCTCCACACAGCACATTTTGCTTCACAGAAGGTGACAGGATGATGTAAGCCGAGGTTTGACAGCACACAGACCTAAAATATGTGGAAAAGAATCACTGACAATGAGTGCCAAAATAACCCTGATGTAGGTGAAGGTCTGCCAACACAGCCTCTGTCTCAGCCTTTAGCAGGCAATGGGCAATGCAGGCAGCCCCTGCTCTGTCACCTACCAGCTGCATAAAGCAGCAAGTAAGGTACCCATACCACAGGTCTCAGCCACCTCCACGCTGCCTTAGATGCCACTAGGAGAGCAGATGGACACAGCGCTGGCATCCTAGGGCCACACCTAGGAAGACACACAGACACACAGCAGCATCATCTGCCGTGCTCCCATTCCCAGACAGGAAGGGAAATGATGAATTCTGTTCATTAAAAAAAGAAAAAAAACCATGCCCACCATTGGGCAACATCTGGAAAATGATAATTTATGAGTAATGGCTGCATCTGCCCACCCACCGTTAGCCTCACCTGAGCGTGATATTTTGGCATTTTAAAAAACTTCATCAAGAAAAATTAGTTTCTATGGCAACTAATGGTGCATTTAATAGATCAAGTGATGAGTGCCATGTATAAGAATCCTGCAAATCATGAATAGCAGTAACAGCTCCAATGCTACACAGTCACTGCACAGCTGTTGTGCTGAGGTGCTCCGAGCCTTCTGCACAATTAGGAGCCAAGCTATGTTTTGGGGAAGCACTGTGTACAAGCATTTCCAACTCTCTCCCTTTGCAGCACTGACTGCAGCTTTTCTTATTTCCTCCAGTGGACTTATTGATATTGATTAGACCACAAAAAATTTTTACACAGTTTCAAAACCACTTCCACTTTGCAGGTGCCACCACTGCACCAAATGCATGTTTCCATCTCTCTGCCTGCCTTTAAGTACCTGTACAGAGAGCTCTGCAGGTGGGAAAACAGAATAAAGCCAAAGATGTATTTTCCAAAGAGAGGCCCCTACAAAGCAGCATCACTGCAACACGACTCAGAGCAGATCACAGACTGAGGCACACGCATGTCTGTGACAGAGATACATCAGTTGATCAAGAAGTTAAAGGCAACGCCTGGAAAGACAAAAAGGAATAAATGTGCACTTTGGTAAAGCACACAGGAGAACTGACATGAGGGAGAACAAAACTATTTCTTCTCCCAGGGTCCCAGCTTTGGTACATCCTTTCAAGAGTGACCCATGAGCAGCACTTTCTCACTGCCTTTTTCTCTCTTGATGTATCCAGAAGGAAGTGCAATATGATGGAAAGGAAAACTAGGCAGACAATGTGCCAGTAACAGTAATGCAACAGTGTGCAGGAGGCTGGAACACAGCATCATCAAGGTCTGCTGCCCTTGGGGATGATCCATGGGATGGGGCATTGAGAAGGATGGTCAGCCCTGGGGACGGCAGAACACAAAGCCTCTGAAGACCCCAAGTGTTACAGCAGCTTACAGCAGTGGTCCGAAGCTCACACATCATCATCATGCTCCTTTCAGCCCAAGGGGAAGGCAACAAGCACACAAACATCAGAGAAGAAGACCTGATGGTTCTGCAGTCAGGCTGGCTCCTGCTGACCTCCCCGAGCTCAGTGCCTTGACATGATCCGGCCAGCAATGCCAGCACCCTCTCCAGCCAGTTGCCAGCTCTGACACCTGCCTGCCTGGCTGCCATCTGGCTGAGATCTCAAGGGGACCCACAGCAAGAAACTTCACATATTTTCCTCCACTACTTTCCTTTTCCTATCCTCTACCATTAGCTACTTGGCTTCTAATCTGCCTCTCCACAGCTGGGGAGACCTACTGTGAGCTAAGGATCAGGAAAGCAGGTGAGTGCAGCTAATTGGCCCCAATAACAAGAAAAAAAAGTGTTTGTTAAGCAGCGTGCATGATTTTAAAGTCTCTTCTTTTGCAGGTGTAATTAACTGTCGCTCCAAACCCCTGGATTTTAAGATGCTCAATTACAAACTCAGCTTGCATATCAGGAACAGAACCTGATTTCAGACAAGAAGTCCTCACAGTCCTTATCCCACCACCTCTCATGAATGTTGACCATCCTCCCAGCAGCACACTGTCCACCTCAGCACCTCCACAAGCTGCACCTGACTTGCTGTGTTTCCTCTTGCACTGATCCTGTCCAGCTGCTTGTAGGAACCATCTAAAATCATACAATCACAGCATGGCCTGGGTTGCAAAGGAGCACAGTGCTCATCCAGCTCCAACCCCCTGCTGTGTGCAGGTCACCAACCAGCAGCCCAGGCTGCCCAGAGCCACATCCAGCCTGGCCTTGAATGCCTGCAGGGATGGGGCATCCACAGCCTCCTTCTGTGCAATAATCACGAAAATATTCATGCAGTGAATTACCTTAGAATGTGGGTGGAAGGCAGAGCTCCCCTAAAGGACCAGGCAGGATGCATCCAACCAGCAGTATGAAAAAACACCTTGTGCTGTATTTAAAACACCCTGCTTGTATTTAAAACACCCAGGAGTAATTATTGACTGGTAAGAGAAGTTTTATGGCAATTGCTAACAGCAAGCCACAGCTTGCTGATTTTACATCCATCTCGATCTCCTGTCTGAGCTTGATGCCTGCTTTTCCCCAATAGTCCCACTGACAAAAGAACACTGCTGAGATTCATCACAGCCTTGCTTAAGAGAAGGCAGATTTTAAGGGCACAGAGTCCGAGGGAATGGAATCCAGGGGTCTGCAGCTCCCATAGACAAGGCATGCTGAAGTTTAAACACAGCAATGCAAAAAAACTAACAACAGCAACAAAAAGTCTCAGCCTCATCTTTGGGGTGGGAAAGAGGGCTGTAAAAACTGAATGGAAATTTAATAGGAAGGGGATAAAAAGGCAAACGTTCAAATGTAGCCCTGCCAAGCCTCCTGTGTTCTGCTGCAGAATCACCCATCTGAGGCCACCAGCTATCCCCACCCCTCAGGCAATTAATCTGAACATAAAGTATGGCAAATCTTTGAGAGCTGTAGCACGAAAGTGAGTGCAAGGGTGCAGACGGAGGTGCCGGATGACAAAGAAAATCTATAAACAGGTAAAACGAAGAGAAATCAATTTTCTATCCTGAATCTCAGAATGAGAAGGGAGATTTTTTGAGAAGGGAAAAAGGAAGCCATGTGGTCGCTCTCTTGATAAGAAGCTTAGGTTGTACAGTGGCTTTTTTTTTTCTTTTTGATTCAGCAGCATCATAAGCTTTGTGACTGCTTAACACAGTACCACTCATAGCCAAAGCATTTGCAGGCAGATAACAGTATGCTGCCTCTTGGGTTGGGGAAGGCTCTTTGATTCCTGCAGCTTTGCACCAAGCACATGTGAGCCCTGTTGGAGGAGGTGGGTTGGGAACATTCTCCCAGGGAACACGCTTGAAGTATCAACTTATCTTTATTCTTTCCTGCTTGCACATGAAGGTGCTATTTATTTCCACCCAAAAGCAGTTGCTTTGCATCTAAAAAAGATGTGAAATAAGGCTGGATAAGGAAAGGTTGGGGGGGTTGAAGGAATGCAAGAAAAGCAGCAGGCAGTGGAACATTAATTAGTTTCAGAGAGGTGGCCACAGCCCTCCCTCCCTGAGCTTGGGACAGATCCTACCCTGCCCATTGCTCTACACCTCGCTCCTGGAAAGAGCCATTTTCATCTGCAGTAGTTCAGATATTTCAGTATTTGCATGAAAGTCTGTCATAGAGTGGTTCTGAAGGGAGACAGAAAAGAACCAAAAGCTCTTAAGGAAGAAAACAAAGAATGCGAATCAGTTGCATGCATGGGTAAGTGTAGAGGTGATGGTCTCAGGTTCCATTCACCAGGGGAGGTTCAGGTTGAGTATCAGGAAACATTTCTTCTGCAAAAGAGCAGTCAGGCACTGCACAGACTGCCCAGCATTGGTGGGATCACCATCCCTGGAGGTGTTCCTGAGCCGTGGAGATGTGGCACTGAGGGATGTGGGCAGTGGGCATGGTGGGGTGGGCTGGGGTTGGGATCTTCTGGAAAAGAAATGTTTTCCAACCTGAATGATCCTGTGATTCCATGTAAAATAACTTCACAAGGTGCACATGGAGGAGGGATGGTGATGGGGATACCAGGCAGCTCCAGCACAGACCGACCAGATTATCTTTGAATAAATGCTCTAAAATAATAGAGCCAGGCCTGGAAAAGGATAGTTTCCTTCAGTTTAACCTCAGTTTCCTGCAGGATCTCAATGCCATGGTTCATGCCATGCTCATGGCCAGGATATGGGAGCTCAGTGAGGCCCCCCCCCAAGCTCAGCCCATTTCATCGGCTCAGCTGATGCGCACCACTCAGCACTCCCTACCTACACTTGTATTTCCTTCTGCCAACCTCTGCAGCCCCACATCACACCACAACATTCCCAGATAACCATTCACTCAAAACCCATCATTTTTTGTGCCGATGATGCTCCTTCTGCGGCACTGCAGCACCGAACCCACAAAAGCCCTGACGAATCCTCCAGCGGATCCTGACACATCAACCTCTAACCCCCTGCAGCAGAGCAGCAGATGAAGCTATCCCAAAGAGTTGGGTGGGGGCTCACCTGTGGTCGGGGATGGCCGGTGACCAGGCAGGTCAGCTCCAGCGTCTCACCCTCACGGATGGTGTAGACCCTCTCCGAGTAGCGCTCCTCCTCGATGTTGCACGCCAGGCCTGAGTGCACGATACGCACGGTGGGGGGGGCTGCAAGGTGCAAACAGAGAGCAGTGAGCAAGGTGCAAACAGAGAGCAGTGAGCACAGCACCTGGCCATCCCTGCCCTCCCCAGCAGCAAACCCACATCGGGTGCCAAGAGATGGCTGCGGTGCTCGACCCCATCTCGCGGTCCCCAGGGTACAGCCTTCACGAGCTCCTCTGCTTTCTGGTTATTTTGGGCTCCATTTCTAAATGAGCTCTCTCTTATTGTTCTCGTCATTATATATCTTTCTAAACTTATTATCGCGTGCATTATGCAAATGAGGTGCCTTAATTAAACCATTAAAATTAAGCAGGAGAAACGGCGGGGCTGATGCTGCTCCTTCTCAACATTAATACTGAAATCCTGTTGCTGTCAAAGGGATCAGGGCTTGGAGCTGAACAAACCCTCACCTTAATTTTGTTGTAAATTCAGTCCAAGCTGCAGGACGTGACCATGTTCTACACATTGTACATGTAGGAAAACAGCAACGTTGTTCCTGATACCAAATGTACAAATTACAGCTCTGTTTTAGCAATTCTCCCGTGGATGTTCCCGGCTGTATCTTTATTTCTGCAGCATGAAATTCACAACTATTAAAATTTTCAGACAGTGAATCAATAGGAGAAGAAAGTGGAGCTCCAGTTATAACCCCGCTGCCAAATGAAATAACAAAAGCTGAAGAGATAAATGGTAATTCTGGTGGGGCTCAAACACCCAGCAGTTTGCCCTCTCTGCTCATCAGCGTGCTGCTCCAATGTTGGACAAATGCTTTAGTCCTAACTGAAGCCTTAAGTGATCGAGAAAGCCAGAAAGTGGAAGAAAAATAGAGCCCAGAAGGACTTGATCGTGCTCCCACCATAGAACCTGCATGCTTTTACACCGCTGCTCATTGCCTTTTCCTCAGCCCACCTACAGACAGTGTTCCTGCAGCTCTGCATGCAGCTTTAGGCACCACCTGCTGCACAGTGCCTGGATCTCATACAAACACTGCCCTTAATTTCAATTCTGGCCCTCGTTCTCTGAAGGCTGTAGAAAATGAGGTTCAAGGAAAGGACCTGAGCAGGACAGTGCCGGGTCAGGTACAGGAGCAGGAGGAGAATAATTATGTCAGGCTGCAATGGCTAAGCCTGATACTCCTCACTACCATGCACTGCTCCCATCCATCTCAGTCTACTATATTTAGATCATTTCTCAATGTGCTCAGCTTAGGTTAATCCCTTCAGCAAGCATTTCAGAAACCTGTCCTCCCTGCAGAGACCGGCGTGGGAGGAAGAGCTTTTGCAAGCAATAGATGCTTCCCACATCACAGTGTGCCCCGAGCTTGACGGCACGAGGCGACCGGCTCCAGGAGGGACCAGAGAGCAGCACAGAACAGCTTGCTAGCACTGCTCAAACCCAACGGCACTGCAAAAAGCTTCCCCACCAGGCTGCAGCCAGACAAGCATGCCTGCTTGGTCCGCTTTGCCTTCCTCTTGTTCAGAACTGCCTTCTGCCCTCCCCACAGCCCTGCAGAGCTGCTCTCTGTAGGGATGGAGACCCTGTTTGCTCCTTAGAGGAAAAAAATAAGACCTCTAAACCACTGGGCTGCTCTTCACTGTCCCTCTGCCATGCCAGAAATGTCAGAGGATCACAGAACGGCCCAGACTGCAAGGGACCTCAAGGACCACAGGCATCTATTCCTTGTTCTGCCACACACAGCCGTGGTACGATGAGCTCCACCCCACGGCTGGGTACCATCTCCCACAACACAAAGCATAAACTGCTGACATGCAGAAGCAGTTCAGCACAGATGAGGAGACCAGATAAAATTAGGAGAGTCAGCAACATTACACTGACATCCTGCTGCCTTTTACATTCATATTATATTAATATGACATTTTAATTCATATTGTATTCATATTATTTCAAATTACGCTTGAAGCATCCTTTGATTTAGTGTCTGTGCCACGGCTCCACATCTGTTACATTTGAAATGGCAACATAGAAAAGAAAAAACAACTCCTTCTGTATTAGTATAAGTATATACTGCTTTAAGAAAGACTAAAACGAATGCAGGAAAATTAAAAATATTCTTCCTCCTTTAATTTTAATGTTCTATGGTTCAGAAGACATTGTGTAATTACAAAATGTCACCTCCTTCTCTTCACCAGGAATATTCATTACAGCTACTTCTGAAATATGCCTCCAAGGATTTAATGGCAGACAAGCCATGGAAGTAATATATCCTTGGCATTTATTTTGTTTGTGGCACTTCAGAAGTATTTGTCTTGTGATTACGCCCAGTAAATACCACATGCAGGAATCCATCACTGGCCGTCCTGGCATCACGCAGGCACAGTGCACACAAAGCTCAGTGTGAGGTCAGACAGAGCTGTGACAACAAAACCGACAACAAACCTCCCCGTGATGCAAATACACCAAGAGAGTCCTTTCCTATGAAGAATGGTGCCAAGCTGACCTTTCTCTGTGTCTCATTATGTATTGATGTAAGATAAGTCCCCGTTGTTGGCTGCTCTTTTCCAGCAATTTCAATTCATCTCCTCTCTCCTGTACACACACAAGTCTACGCAAGCAAAAAGGCTTCAACTTGCCACAAGCTCCCCAGATGGCACAGATCCCAAAGATCCGGGGGTGAAAAAGGTGTCATAAAATTTCTGTGAAGGCAAAATTAGAAATGCCCAAAGTTGAATCACAGAATCACAGAATTGTAGGGGTTGGAAGGGACCTCTAGAAATCATTGAGACCAACCCCCCTGCCAAAGCAGGTTCCCTACAGCAGGTTGCACAGGTAGGCGTCCAGGCAAGACTTGAACATCCCCAAAGAAGGAGACTCCACCACCTCCCTGGGCAGCCTGTTCCAGTGCTCTGTCACCTCACTGTAAAGAAGTTCTTGCGCACATTCGTGCGAATATGGATGCAGGTATCCAGACGCATTTAATAAAGACACAAAGGGCAGAGCAGATGCCATGATGAATGTGAGCACGGCCACTCTCCATCAAACCTGCAGAATAACATTTGTTTTCTGAACAAGTGCCAAAGTAGAGAAGAGTTTTTCTAAGCTGGCCACCCGAGAAAGTAAACAAACAACTCAGAGTCACAGAATCACAGAATGGCTTGGGTTGCAATGGACCTCAAGGTTCCTGAGCCTCCAACCCCCCCCACCACATGCAGGGCCACCAACCTCCACATTTCATAGCAGCCCAGGCTGCCCAGGGCCCCATCCTACCTGGCCTTGAACACCTCCAGGGATGGATGGGGCATCCACAGCCTCTCTGGGCAGCTGTTCCAGCACCTCACCACTCTCTGTAAACAACCAGCATGCAACCTTTGCAAGAGTTTGCCCTCATCTTTCCCCAACCCAAAGCAAGCACTGGGTGGCCTCAAGCTGCGCTATCAACACAATAGGCCATATCTGCTCATGGCATGCAACACATTATTATTGGATCTGGTGTCTGGTGCAGTGCATGGCAATCTTGCTCAGGGCAGAGGGTTGGAACGAGGTGATCTTTAAAGTCCCTTCCAACCCAATCCGTTCTCTGATGCTATGATTGACTCTGCTACTATTATTCCAAAACATTTCAAATAAGAAAGAAATCTTCAAAAGAATCAGGGGTCTTCATGTCTGGAGAATTACAACGGCTTTTTTCTCATCCAGAACATACCTACTGTTTCAGAAACAGATACCAACAGACACAGACCATATGTCATAGATCGTAACTTTTTAATACTTGCCCAGCAGGAAGGACAATAAACAGACAGCGTAACGAGTTGTAAGGGGGTAAGAAATCTGCCTGTTCCTAGAAGCAGCATTACAGTTCCTATAACTCAATAGATACTCTACTGATAAGCTTTGTAGTGCCAAAATTAGGTCAGCCTGTGACAGCAGCGTTGGGAAGTGGCAGTGTGATTTAATTGGCACGGTGGCTCCTCATGTTGGTGCTATCGATCAAGAAGGCTTCCTGAGCTCTGGAAATGCAGTTTAAGCCACAGAGATATAGGCAAGCATTAAGCAACGTGGCAAAAACAGTCCAATCAATGCAAGGAAAAAAATGCTCTTTGTCCTTCTCTTGTGAGACTGGGAGGCAAGGGCAGCCATGGACAGCTCAACAACGGAACGAGGGTTATTTATGCTACTGGGCATGTAGAATGAGAACAGGTAGGAAGTATTTCATGCTAATAGATCTTTATACACTACAGAACTCTCCCTGCTATCACTTGTCTGCTAAGGCTGTTGAAGGTAACGTACAGTCATAAAACTATGAAAACAGAAAAAGCAAAGGCTCCCTGCGTTGGATGCCTGGCTTTTGTTCCACATGGGACCCGAAAATGAAGATGTTAATTGAGACTCTCAATATTTATATAATGAAATGTCCTTGTGTAACATTTCCCATCCTCACTCCCCACCAAGAGTACTACGCTTTCTAAAAACAGAAATAAACTGGCCTAATAATACATTTATCAGCCAGCTGAACATCAGCTAACCTCCAGCTGGTGTCCAACCCCACGTTACCCACAGTAAAACACTCCAAGCTCTGTAGTGATGAGAGCTGTTGTGCCAGGGCAGTGCATTCATCACAGTAATACCACCGAGATCCCCGGTCACTTCATATGCAATTAGCAGAATTAAGAGCTGATAGGAGTACGGGAAAACTCATTTTTGAGAGTTGCAAACACATACACAGTTACTTTGGATCTTCACGTTCTTAAAAAAAAAGAGAGAAAAGATTATTTCCTCCTCATTACACTGCAGAATTGCACAAAACTCACTGGGGACTTCACTCTTGCTGATTGGTTTTACACAGAGGAGCTCACAATGAAAAGCATCGCTGAAACAAATGGGAGGATAACAGAATCACACGTGGGCACAGCCAGGGCTGATGCCTTGCATTGGGAAGGCAGCTAACGCTCTAATGCAAGGGCACAGTGCTGGTCCCAGTGCTTTTAGGGGCGCCTGGCTGTGCAGGAGGACATCGCAGCCCTATGCACACACAGTGACCATGTAGTGTC